GTTAGCCACTCTCAATATTCTGGAAGGGCACAAGGCACTACTGGAGAATCTTAACTCTGCATTAATGACGTTTGGGGTATTTAATGTGTGGCAGTTTTAACAAATATTAACTCTGTACTCACCAGATACTTCACCTAATGTTGGCTGCAGACCTGCAAGGGATGACACTGACTTTGGTATCTGCAAATGTGATGGTTCACTTGCTTCCTTCTTAAAGTCTGGTAATTGTAGTCTCTCTTTCTCTACAGAGAGATTATTTAATCTATTAAACATATATGCTTTCTATTTCAGCATGATATAGCATTCCCACCTAAATTGAAACAAAGATAGATCTTTCATATTAAAAAGTGGCTATGTAGTACATGTCCAGAAAAGACTGTACACATATATTTTTTACATAATTCCTTTCATAATAATTTTACAAATATATTTAAATGGTGGAAAGTAATCTGCTCACAGAAGCCATTAGTATTTCGAGAACGTAGAATTTATTTTGAAGCTTCACATAGGTCTCAGAACATAAGTTATTCAATTCCATATGTCTGGTGACACTCCACAGCAGTAGGTATGTCCCCTTATATTTTAACGTAATTTGGCCCACTGCATCCAAGGAAAAGAGATTGGGAGAATATGTTGGGATCAATGTAAAACTCTACATATGTTCTCCATACGAATGTCAAGGTTTAGGAGCATGGGCATCTTTTTGTAATGTTCATAAGATATTTGGGAGTCAAATGTTATTAGTTGTCAACTGGATTCACATTTTGCTTTGAAGATGCTCACAGGTGTGGAACAATTATACTTTGCAATATCTCCTGAAATATATATCTCAAAGAGAAGCCACAAGAAGACAGTGGTTGGACAATGGCTGTTTTATCACTATGGATTGCAAATAGTGTCATTTACCAATCTCAAACATTTCACTTTGTCATTCATTATGGTTTATGTAATTTCATCATTTAATCTATGACGGAGGACAGGTACTGGAACCTGTGTCTCTCGGTGTCCTAATCATTGGCCTACAGAATCACTGTCATTCCTTCTCTGGCACAATTAATAGATACATATTTTTATAAAGTGAAACAGCTTTCTACCAGCCAGCTTAGGCAACTCCTCACAGTGTGCTGGTTTTTGTAAATCACATTCTTAGGCACCTCATCCTCTCCGTGCATTGTATAAGGAGCCTGGATACCTAACTTAGGACTGTGAATTCCATAAAGCAGCAGGGCACCTAAATGTTAGATGTTGCAATACTGAGTCTAACTCCCATTTTTTAATCTAGTTCTGAGTATTCATAAGTGAAAGTGTAAGAATTTGTATTCTTAATCCAAGTATTGAGTCCACAGAGGATCCTGGAAGACCTGCTCCCCTCATCCCACCATCAACATTCCTGATGACTGCAATTTATTTACTTTGCACTCACCACTCAATTTCTCTTTTCCCATCTGGCCCATTGCAGAAACCTGTGCTTCTTGCAAATCTTTTAGATTTACTTCCAGCTTTGCAAGTAAAATCTCTCTTTTCTTGGTTAGCTCCTCTACTTTGCTCTCTAAAGAGAAAGGAAGGTTTTTGTGCATTAAATAGAGAAAATATTTTATAGGTATTCTCTGTAAAATGAAATATACAAAATATGGAACACTAAAAGGGGCATTTGTGTTTCTGCCTTGAGCATTCTTTATTCAGGTAGTGCACAATTGCTACAGACAATTATCTAAACAAAGATTTTATAGAAAATAGAATGAAACCTTAGAAACTTTTATATTCCATTTAGTAAAAAGAGTATCTAGTTTTTATATGTACAAATATATGTAGACAAAATAAAAGAAAATCTCCTTCCTTCTTATACTTTAAGTACTGTCTCTTATAGCACTGTACAACGACAGAGAATGGTCAAATGTAGGCCTCGTTTGTATATCTGAACTCTCACAATACTGAAGCAGGACATATCTAGAAATCTAATAATGGCAAACATTTAAAAGAAAACATATTCCCTTTAAAGCACAATCAACTGCAACCCCTCTAAGTGACTCTCCTCTGATGTAGAACACCACTTTGTATATACTCCATTCCATACTACGACTATGTATACATTAAAGAGGTGGGGCTTTTTTGGAGAAATGGCCGTTTAAAAAAAAAAAAAAACCAAAAACCCTTCACTTATGTCGACACTGCAATTGAGTTCTTTTGAAAAAAAATCGAACGAACAGAGGGATTTTTCCGACATTGGAAAACATCTTTCTATGAGGAAGAAGACTTTTTCCAAAAGAGCTCTTTTGGAAAAAGGCGTGTGGGGACAGAGAAATGGGAGTTCTTTCCAAATAAAAGGAAAGAGAAAAAAGCTCAGGTGCCCTGGTGGCCACTCCGTCCATAGTAATCACAGATTAAATGCGAGATAGCATCCATTCAGTGTGGACGCTAACTTTCGAAAAAGCAGATCGCCTTTTCGATGCACTTTGGCAGTGTGGATACTCTCTTTCGTAAGAAGTTTTTTTTGAAGATGTCTCCTGGAAAAGCTTCTTCCGAAAGAAGCCTGCAGTCTAGACGTAGGCTCGGTGTTTTCTTTATCTTACTATTTTACAAGGCATAGCCAGAGGAAGAATTTTAAAAAAGCTAACTTCCACTGAATCAATCTGTTGTTCAAGTTTAGGTTTTGCATGCTTCAATCTTTTCCAGGTGAATGGTTACAAAATTCATCTTAATATGTTATATAAAGAAATAGTAACCCCCCAAAAAAGGATTTGGAAAAGCTAGAAAGATATAAAAATTAAGATTGCATACATGAAATAGATTAAAACAAGGCATGTGACAGGGCGTTGGTCCCACTCTGGTCCATAAAGGGTTAAAACAGCCTGGGTGATGGCTGGGATAGGCACCCCAACAGAAGAGCCCTGAGTCTCAAGGGCTGGATACAGGCAAGTCAGGAGCTGCGTCCAACCCCTGGGCATTAGGTTCCCTATCCCTGACTTAGATTATCAAATTGATCCCTTCTAATCTTGGAATCTATTAATACAATCATTTAATAAGATAAGCAAAAGTTAGACACAAAAAACTAGAACAAACTGGGCATGTTTAAGCTATACAAGTGTTCATAATTCCTTGTGAGTTTACAAATTTGCTATAGCAACATATTGAAATATCAAAATGTGTGTTTTGATTGAGTTTTTTTAATAAGACCAAGTTGCCATCCTATTTCTGCATACTGTTTTTCTGAAGGTAAATTCTTTTAAGCTTGCACAAAGAAAGTAATAAGCTATGGTGCTTTATAACTGGTAGGGGAGGGGAAGATACACCAACAAAGGGGGGCACATGATTCCCCATGACTCCAGCGCATCCACAGCCTGCAACTCCCATGTTCTTCCCCTTCCTTTCCCATCCCATACCAGCAGCTCCTTCTGTGCCATAGTGCTCCTAGCTCCACCCTCCTGCCCTCAGTGCTGTACACAGTGATGCAATAGCTCAGTGGGAGGGGCTGGGAAAGGCTGTCAGGGAGTCTTTGCAATGTGCTTTATCAATACAACAAATCTTTATATTAATAATGTGTCTATCTTGCACTACTTAACCAGGCAAATCTCTTTTTAGAACGGTTCAAAAAGCCTTTACATGTGAACATAAAACTCAAATTGCAGTTCTGGCAGAGTTAGGAATGCAGGATCAGCACCTACCCCTGTACTTACCAGCCATAATGCTTGGTTGGCTAGATGCTAGAGCCTGTGCTTGTTGTAGATCTTCAAGATTTGATTCCAGACTTTCAAGCAAAGCCTTTCTCGCTTCTGATAGTTCACGCAGTTTCCTCTCTATGGCAAGAAAATACTTTAAAATCTGATTTACATGAGATATTTGATTACGTGAGCTGGATTCTCTGGCCTGCTATAATTGCTTAGAACTTGTATTTTGCCTCAGCATAGATAATGGATAATTATTTGCTAAAGTGCTCTCTGCTTTGGAAGGTTAGCTATGGTGATAATAGCACTGAGGTCTAGACTTCTGAAAGATTATATGCTCTATTTGTTAGTTGTAACTATGATTTGTCCAAATTTAGTTTCAGGCCTATGGCCTGTCCAGATGACTTTGAGCTGTTTTTGATCTGGGTGTTTGATATCCCATGTACTACACATTGGTCCTGTGATGCCTATGATGTATCAAAGGTACTTCCTGTGGTTTGGATATATTGCAATTTCGAAACATGTACCCTGTAAATCAAGTTAACATTTCAATCTTTAGCCATAAAGGAATGAATTACAGAAGTGAGGGTGAGCATCCTGAACTTGATTTTCTTGATGAAATACTTTAACTTTCTTAGATCTAGAAGGGGTGAAGATTATCAGATTTCTTTGGAGACAATCAATACTGTGAATAGAAAGCTTTCCCTCTATATTTGTAAGGAACTTCGTGTATTGCTCCCAAATCTAGAAAAGACCCTATGTCTTGAAGTCTTATGAGAAGGCCCTTGAAAATGAATGGGGAAAGTGAGTTTGGAAAAGGGATGGAGGTAAATTTGATAACACATCCTTCTTTTACTGTGCTGGGGACTGATTTGTCATATGTAATACCTTCCCAACACAGTGAAAGAGGACAGGCATAATCCACAGGGATGAAATACAGTTAGGACACATCTACACTGCTACACAATTTTGAAATAACCAGTTCTATTCTGAAATAACTTAGCCCACATCTACAGAGCAGGTGATTATTTCGAAATAGTGTCAAAATACTGTCAAGCTCGAGAACTTCTTACTCTGACTCTTGTAACGCTCATTGTATGAGGAATAAGGGAAGTCAGAGGAAGAGGGCTCTATTTCAAAATAAGTGCTGTGTAGATGCTCCCTATTTCAAAATAAGCTATGCAATTGATGTAGTTCAATTTGTGTAGATTATTTCAAGTTAAACCCTTCAGAGTAGACACACCGTTAGGCTGCATCTAAACTGGCATGATTTTGCGCAAATACTTTTAATGAAAAAGTTTTTCAGTTAAAAGTATTTGTGCAACAGAGTGTCTAGACTGGCATGTGCCTTTGTGCAAAAGATTTGTGCCTTTGTGCAAAAGCATCCGTGCCAGTGTAGATGCTGTCTTGCGCAAGAAAGCTCCGATGGCCATTTTAGCCATTGGGCTTTCTTGCGCAAGAAATTAACATTGCTGTCTACACTGGTCCTCTTGTGCAAGAATACTTGCGCAAGAGGGCTTATCCCTGAGTGGGAGCATCAGAGAATCTGCGCAAGAATCACTGATTTTGTACATTACGAAGTCATGTAGACTTGCCAGTGTAGACAGTTGGCAAGATTTTGCGCAAAAGTGGTTGCTTTTGCACAAAATCATGCCAGTCTAGATGCAGCCTTAGTGTGCTCTCCTTGATCAAAAAGTTAAAATGACTGTTTAGAGGTTGCATATGTGTGGTGAGAAGGTCTTGCCATTGATGAAGACAGCTGGCAACATCAAGGAAGACTTGACTTCTCTTGGAAGCATACTATGGCCCCTGTTGGAAAGAAGGCCTAGAGTAAGATTGAGACCTAAACTGTTCCCTTTGTGTACGTATGGCAGTCCTTCAGAAAGCACATAGTGGCATCTGTTTTGGTAGAAAACAATTTAGACCCCTTAAGTGTAAATCTGTTGTGTTCTGCAGTTCCTTTAGAATACCAAAAGTCTGCCGCCAGGAAATGTGCCTCATGGCCATAGTAGTTGCTATGGGATATGAAGCAATATTAGTGGTGCCTAGTGATGCCTAACAAGATGTTTGAACTGTAGAGTGTCCCTCAGAAACGAAAGCTAAAAACTGTTTTTTATCAATTTTGACAATTTGGCAGCAAATTTTGAAATTTCAGAAAAAATAATAAAATTATATTTTGACAAGAAAAGCTTGGTAATTAGCAACTGTCATGTGAAGAGTGGCAGTGAAATAAACATTTTGGCTGTATATACATTAAGTCTCTTAAATTTCTGATTATTGGGAATCATTTGAGGGCAGAACTGGATTGTTCATTAGAAGCTCTAACCACCTAGGAATCAGGAATAGGATGGGTAAAGAAATAGTCAAAATCTTGTCGAAGGTCTTGATCTTGACTTCCCACTCACTTAGCTGTAAAAGGTATAGAGGTTGGGGTCTACCAGAGGGGTTTTGTTGATTCAGTAAGCTTTCATTGGTACGAAGGATAGGAGCTGGGGTACATCCTGGAATGAATATGCTGAACTGGCTGAACAGAGGAGGAATGACCAATCCAGAATAGGTGAAGATACTAATCTTGACAGCCCTGAAGGGTCTGGAGCAGAGAGTGCTGCCTCGGAAGAACTGGTGAGCATCTGAATTTATCAAGTCTCATACCTTTATCAGAAAACTTAACACAAAACTTTCTGGGAAACATCTGACACCTTTCACACCTATCAGAAACAGAATGTGTGGAGCGCTTTAATAAGGCTGACATTGAAGATAAAGTGTGACATTTATCACCAGACTCATGGTTAGTATCAGAAGCAGTTGGAGGAGCACTCCTGGTTGACTCTAAATCCTCTGCCTTATAGTTGGGGTTAAACTCTAACTAAGGGCAAATCACATTCTTCATGAGGTGAACTTTAAGATGAAAATTCCTCTGCTTGTAGCCCTGATGGGGAAGGAAGTACAAATGGAGTATTTGGTCCTCATGTGGTCTTCAACAAGTAGATCTTCTGCCTTCTTGTAACCAAGGTAACAGACCTGTACGTAGCATGCTGTTTAAAACTTCGGATTATTTTCTTAATAAAATCCTCAGGGAACTACTACACTATTACTGAATATGACTACCTGTAACTATTAGATAAACAAAGTGAATGAGGTAACATTTTTTATTGAACCAGTTTCTGAGGTTGACAGAGACAAGCTTTTGAGATTACACAGAGGAATTCTGCGCTGGGAAACTTATTGATAGTGTCACAGCTAAGTACATGATGGAACAGATTGTTTAGAATAAGCAGTTAATATTTGAAGGAACCATTCAAAGTTCAGTGGCCCATTAACTTTGTTCCAGTCATAGGAAAGACAGGGTGAAGTAGAGTTGCTGGGGAGGGATGTTAGTGGAAAGACAGACAGACAAACAGACTGACTGACTGACTACATTTATAATACATTTACCAGTGCTATTATCTGGTTGGCCAGCTTCAACAGTCCACCTACATTGCGGACATTAAGTTTACTTGGCTCCCTACTTCCCTGTATTAAGGATGGCAGGAGAAGGATTAGACTGGGGCTGTGGAAATCATTTTTTTAATTCCCCATTTATTTTCTTCCCATTTCAATTTTTTCTGCATTGAAAACTGAAATCTGTCAGCTTGCTGACATTTCTTGTGGAAAATTTTGATTTTTGCAGAAAGGGCATTTTTTTGGTAGAAAATCCCTCCATTGCAAAATTTTTGACTAGCACCACCTGTGACTTGAGTGTCTGGCATACCAAGAGCTGAATCCACTTCAGGACCTTGGATTCTACATTTCTGTGTGACCAATATTAGAAGACAAGTCAGGAAGAGATCTTTCAATAATCGATCAGCATGTGAATTTTTTGCTTCTGTCTGCTGATCTAAGTGGCCTGTCAGATACAGGGGGTCAGACTTGATGATCTGATGGTTACTGTTGGCCTTAAATTCTATTAAATTTAAACTATAGTTTTGTCCAGGGTTTGATTATGGCCAGGCAGGTGGCCAGCAAGCATTACTAACATCTTACAAGTCTCAGAGGGGTAGTTGTATTAGTCTGTAGCTTCAAAAACAACAAGGAATCCTGTGGCACTTTAAAGACTAACAGATTTATTTGGGAATAAGCTTTCATAGGTAAAAAATACTTTGTCAGATGCATCAATGTTACTTTCATTCTATCTATCCTACACTCTGCATTTATTATGCCAGTTTGTATCTAGCCTTAATTTAGGCACTGAAAAAGCAAAGCACTTGAGCACATCCTTATCTTTAAGCACAAACTGATATGCGTCAACAAAAATATTCATATGCTTTGCACATACTTATACAGCTTGCTGAATCTGGGCCTTGGGGAGTAAGCTCTCTATAAAGGGACTCTTTTTGGATTTGTTGTAGAACAGCCAGTACAAAGGTGATCCAGGATGATGGGGACCCTGTCATATGACATGGTCATCCCAAAGTACTCCTGCTGGCTGAGTCTGGCACTAGTGATGTTTCCTCTCCCAGTTTCCTTCCCTTATCTGGGTCTCTTCGGCTGTCCACAAACTGGTTTTTACTGGAAAATGTTCTATCCTTCCTGCCAACTCACAAACAAACTTAACTCCTTCGGGTATGTCTACACTTGCACCCTAGTTTGAACTAGCGATGCAAATATAAGCATTCGAAATAGTCAATGAAGAGGGGATTTAAATATCCCATGCTTCATTAGCATGATCTTGCTGGCACGTTACTCCAATCAACAGCTGTTTCGAAAGTGAAAGTGCATGCCGGGATGTGTTAGTTCGAACCAAACCCCTTGGTTCGAACTAATCTACTCCTCATTTTTTGATGAGTACTTTCATGATGAGGGTCTGAATGTCACATGTGGCTAGAGACTCAAAGGGTGAGTATGTGAGAGTGTCCAAAATTAATTCAAGATCCCACAGAGCAGGTGGTTTCCTGTATGGAGGGTGTAAGTTCATTAAACCCTTCAGGAAATGTTTAGTCATTGGGTGAGACATAATTGAAAAGCCTTCAATTGATTGTCTGAATGCAGAAATTGCCGAGAGATGGACCTTAATAGATGAAAGGCCTAGTTTAGAATGGTGTAGGTGGAGGACGTAATCAAGAATGTGATGAATTGGAGTGGAGATCGCATCG